TTCCCAGGGTTTGTTATAAACAAAAAATAAAAACATCTTCTGGGCAAGGTGGGAGGGCTCTGCACTCCCAGAAAGGGTGGGACTCACCTCCCTACCACCAGTCCTACATTGCTACCCAGAGCATGTCCCCAGGGCTCTGGTGGTGATATAAAGGGCCCGGAGCTCACGGTAGGAGCAGTGGTGGTTGGAAGCCCTGGGCCCTTTTGGATCATTGGGCCCCAGGGCAGTTGTCCCCCCGACAGTAAGTAAGGAGAATGTTACATAGACTGCTAAAGCGAAACATTTTCACATCTGAAATATCAGATAATTTGAACCAAAGAGTTTGAAAAGAATTTATGTGGAACTCTCTGCACCATTGATGATGATATTTTACAAAACTTTTGGAATACAGAGGAAATTGTGAAAGACTGGAATATAAGGTAGTATATCAATATTTTAAAAGGGTAAACAGGATGACCTTGGTAACTCTAGATCTCTCACTTGAACGTGGATCCCAAGGTAAAAATCACATACAGGCTGATTTGTAGAGCAAGGGCAGATATTAAATTGGTATCCTCATCCACAGATGCAGAAATGATCTGCAGATATTTCCATGCATATCTGCAGATATCCGCGGATTTGCAGGGTTTTAGGTACAACATTTTTATTTGCATCTGTATCCACAAAAATGAGCTGTGGATAGCCACATCTATGGATGCAGATACCCACAGATACAAAAAAAGATTTGTAGGGCTCTACTGATATGGGCTGCAGTCGATAACAATTTAAATATGACCGTATAATTCATACCTCTCCATGTGGTCTCATGGAATATAGGTCTCAGCAAACAATCTTGATAGCATTTTTGATATTACAAATTTGTTGGGGTAAGACATTTTACTTAGTATTGCATGACATTCTGATTTTAGCGCTAAACAAAATCAAGGCGGCACTTATTAAATAGATTAAAAACTGGCTAACTGATGGATTTAAAAACTAATTGTAAATGGAGAATCATCATCCAGTGGGTGTTTCTAGTGCAAGGATGTCTTTTTGGTTAAATACTAGGCATTGCTTTTATCAGTCATCTCAATGAAAACAAAATCACTGCTGATGTTACGTGAAATGATTACAGGTCAGTTCTATAGACCACTGTGGAGGATTACAGTGATAAACTGGGCACACTTAAACGTGTGGTGATGCTATATGGGAGACGCTTGGTATGGATACCAATATTGTGAAATGGAAATGAGTCATTCCAGATTTGTTGTATGAGTTACCCATAAATGTTGTTTGCTAAGTGTGATGATCTTATTTATATGCTTGTATCACCTTTTACTGGGAGTAATAGTTCTGTCTGGTATAGATGTATTTAAAATTTGTGTGGTGCCCCTGGGGCTGCGTCTAGACTGCTTTCCTCTTCCTAAAGAGGAAATGCAAACGAGGAAAACAGAAATACAAATGAAGCGCTGATTAGCATGTTCGTGTGCTTCATTTGCATATCCTTTTCTGATCCTTTTTTCAGAAGAGGTTTTATCAAAAAAAAAAAAAAGCGGTCTAGATGTGGTTCTTTTGCCAAAAAAAACCTTTTTCAAAAGAACCCTTCTTCCTCAAAAAATGAGGTTTACAGGGTTCTTTCAAAAAAGTTTTTTTCCGAAAGAACTGCATCTAGACTGCCTTTAAAAAAAAAAAAAAAAAAAAAAAAAAAAACTCTTCCAAAAAAAAGGATTGGAAGAGGATATGCAAATGAAGCGTGCAAACATGCTAATCAGCACTTCATTTGCATTTCCGTTTTCCTCATTTGCATTTCGTCTTTCAGAAGAGGAAAGCAGTCTAGACGCAGACTGGGTGACACTGTTGGACAGATGGGCTAGGCAGTGCTGATGCCAGCTTGATGGCCCATCAAGGAACATCACTTATACAACTGACCCATTGAGAAAAGACATACACCCTATGACTCAGCAAGGCATGTAGGGACATGCCTGTGGATAGGGAACTCTAAGGCTTTTCCATACCCATGTTCTGTTTAAGCATATGTTTGAAAAACAGAAAATACAAGCCACGTAATGAGGAATACAGAGGAATACAACTGCATCATCTCCATTTTGTTGTCAGTTCTGGTTCTTAACTTTGCTACAAACTGAAGTTAGGGGTTGCCAACTTTCTGCTTTCACAAAACTGCCCTGCCCATTCTTCAAGGCCCCGGCCTCCATGTCCTCTCCTTCTGACACTTGCTCTTCCCATCCTCCCTTTCTTGCTCATTTTCACCAAGGTTGCTTGGAGTTGGAGTATAGGAACGGGTGAGGGCTCTGGGGTGGGGTTAGAAATGAGTTCAGGATGCAGGAGGTGGCTCTGGGTTGGGATTGAGGGGTTCAAAGGGCAGGAGAGGGGTTAGGGCTAGGGCAAGAAATTGTGGGGAGCAGAGTCTGAGCAACACTTACCTCAAACAATTCTCGGAAGCAGTTAGGGTTGCCAGATGGTTTATCCAAAAATACCAAACACCTTCCCGCCCTCCCCCCCCCCACCAAAAAAAAAACACTGGGGAAAAAAATCTGTTGAAGGGGAGAAAAGGCGGGGTGTGAGAGACCGAAGTTGTTGAGCCCAAAAAAAAGGACTCAGAGCTATTAAGCAAATAAATAATAAAACAGCATGGCCCCTTCTCAGAGTGCGTGCAGAATCAGAATAGGGATAGGAACAGAGGAGAAGTTGAGCACTAAGACCCAGGGAAGGCATTGCTTCCCCTTGGTCTTTAGGCTTTATGCCACCAGCCATTTTGTTTTCTTGATCAAGCCAGAACGCAGCTTCCCTGCAGAACAAGGTAAGCAGGGGGTCTGGGGCCATAGAGGCTGGGCCCAATTGCCGAGTGTGTTGTAGGGTTGACAGGTGTCCGGTATTTTCGCCTTCTGTCCAGGAAAAAAAACAGAAAATTCCGGACATTTTTAGGTGTCTGGTATTTTCTGAATTTTTTTTACCGGACAGGAGGCGAAAATACCGGACTGTCTGGGTCAATATCGGATACCTGGCAACCCTAGAAGCAATGTCATTTCCTCTTTCTGCCTCTTAGGCAGGGGCATAGCCACACGGTTCTGCACACTACCCTGTCCACATGCACTGTCTCTGCAGCTCCCATTGGCTGCAGTTCCCAGCACTTGTGGTAGAACAGAATCTGGAGTCTCCTGACTGCCCATACATGTAGGAACATGTTGCAGCTTCTGGGATCTGTGCCAAATGACAACAGGTAGGGAGCCTGCCTTAGCCCTGTTCTGCTGCCGACTGGACTTTTAACAACCTGGTCAGTGGTGCTGACCGGAACCACCAGAGTCCTATTTTGACCAGACCAGTTCTAGTTGAAAACCAGACAGCTGGCAACCTTTACCGAAGCCCTGAACAAAGGTCTAAATGATCCATCCGAGCTGTGGATGTGTTCCAGAGGGACTTTCAAGAGCAAACTCACCAATAATGCTAATACATAAACTTTGAATCTTTGTGTGTATGTGAGACTGCTTTACCATTTAACAGCTCTCTTCTTCTTCTTTCTTTTTTCTTTATTATAAGCCTTTAGTTTCAGACAGTAAAGGATGGGTAGCAATGTGGTATTTTGGGTAAGATCCAGCCTAATACTGACCTGGCAGCGTGAGCCTTTATGGAGTCAAAAGAACATTTTGTATAGTGAATAGAATTTTAAAATAACGTCTCACTGCACTGGATCTAAGTGTTGACTGGGAGCCAGAGAACTGGAATGTAATAAAGGCAGCGGCTGTGTGGTTTCTCTTTTTTCTTCTTGTTGTTAAACAATATGGAGATCCGAAGAACATTTTATGATTGGTTGGGGAGTTTAACCTCAGATTTACCCACCAGTTTTGGGAATATCTGCTCTTCCCTTTTCAGCCTGTGAAGACTACTGCAGGCACACGGGATCATACATGGCTCTTAGTACAGAAAAACACAATGCCCTTCATTGAGAAATCAAGAATGTAGGTCACTTTAGAAGATGTGGGCCTGTACTTTGAAAGGAATAACTTAGACAGGACTTCAGGGATCATGGTGGATAACCACTTGAATATGAGTTAGCAGTGCAATGTAGTGATCAAGAAAGCACATATAATCTTTGGGTATATAGGCAGAGGACAAGTGAGTAGAAAGGTATCGTTGCCATTGTATATAGCATTTGTGAGACCAATGGTAGGTAACACAGTGTGTCCAATTTTGTTGGCCACTCTTAAAAAGAATGTTGATAAATTGAAAAGGATTGCGAAAAAGAGTAACAAACATGATATGAGATCTGGAAAACCTGTCTCATAAAGATGCCTAATTTATTTATCTTAACAAATGATATTTAAGAGGCAATGTGATCATGGTCTACCAATACCTACATGGTGAGATTTTGCATAGTAGAGGGCTCCTTAATCTGATGATGGGTGATCACTCATTGCAGAGTATGATCATCTTCCATGGTAGTTGTGGACCCTCAGCTGTCTGAGAAGGCTCCATAATCTAACAGATAGACAGAAGCAGAATAAATTATATAATGGCTGGAAGCTCAAGCTAGACAAACTCAGATGAGAAATAAGGTACAATTTCTTTTTGAGAGGCTAATTGACCATTGAAACAACATGCTCTAGGGATGTGGTGGAGTCTCCATTACTTGAAGTCTTTAAAGCCAGGCTGAATGGCTGTCTAAAAGATGTGCTCTTGTACATCTAGCTTAGCTGGAAGTGATGGGCCTGATGCAGGAACTCACTTTGTGAAATTCTAGGTGTTATGCATAAGGCTAGACTAATTAATCATAACAGTTCCTTCTGGCTTTTAAAATCTACAAACCTTGCTGAAATATAGCTACTGCTTTGCAGCAATGTAGGAGGTAGTATAGGTGTTCTTCATGGTTCATGAGGCAAACCAAAGTCTTAATAGGTAATTTGTTGAGGAATCCCTTTATTGTTTTAAGCTGTGATGTGGTGTCCCTTAATGCCGTGTTTCCCTCTTCTTGCACACACTTCTCTATTTGTATTTCTTCTTTCTAGGAAGAGAATGGGGACGGATCCCCCTGCCTCATGGGACTTTACTGATAATGGAGGGAGCTACCCAGGAAGACTGGCAGGTGAGAATACTTGGGCAGCATGAAAATTAGGGATATAAAAACCACCCAGAATAGTTAACTGGTGAATGTGAGCAGCAGAAGCTGCTTGGAAGGGGCTGCTCCTTCACTGCTGCAGGCAGCAGGAGTTGCCCTATCCCCAGCCAGCCAACCAGGTTCTGACGGTTGGGCTGCCATAGGGAGCTACCCAGGAAGACTGGCAGGTGAGAATACTTGGGCAGCATGAAAATTAGGGATATAAAAACCACCCAGAATAGTTAACTGGTGAATGTGAGCAGCAGAAGCTGCTTGGAAGGGGCTGCTCCTTCACTGCTGCAGGCAGCAGGAGTTGCCCTATCCCCAGCCAGCCAACCAGGTTCTGACGGTTGGGCTGCCATGAAGGGGAGCCTCCAGTTAGTTGGTTAGCCAGTGAGCATGCCAGTAAGACACATGCTAACCTTTAACATCCCTAATGAACATGGTTTTTCCCATGATGGTTAGGGATGTAAGCGACTAGTTGACTAGTGACTCGACTAGTCGCTCCCCCTGCCCACTTGCTGACTCTATCAAGGGGTTGGGAGTAGGATCCGGTGCTGGGGAGAGCTGGCTCGCCAGTGCCGTCTCCATGGGGATAATGTGCAATTTCAAAAGCAGAAGTGCTGCAGGGAGCCTAGGGTGATCTGGGGACTCAAGTAGTCCCCCACTGGCCCTATGCTCCCTGTTTTTGAAATGTACAAGAGCCCCAGGAGGGCTTTTGTACATTTCAAAAGCAAAGCATTGCTGGGAATCAAATAGTCTGGGGCTGTTAGACACTTCAAAAGCAGGGAGTGCAGGGCCAGCAGGAGACTGCTTGAGTCCCTCACTGGCCATGCTCCCCACGGCGCTTCTGCCTTTGAAATGTAGCAAGAGAGTGCAGGGCTCCTGCTACATAACAAAGGTTGAGGTGCTCTTATTGACTAATCGAATAGTCGATGCAAATTACATTGATTATTCAATTAGTTGATTAATCTAAATTTAACATGCTTAACTGTGGTACAGTTTTCTGGAATACCACAAACTACACCAGTGAAGACATGTGTTAATGGGAAAGCTATTGGAAAGTGTGCATTGTGCAGTAATGCGACACTTCACTACACATTAACAGTGCTTTCCTTCCAAGAATCTCAATGCATCACACAAAATTAATGGCTTAAGCTGAACACCATCTCTGCAAGATCAATAAGTGATGTATAGTGATTACTCCACACACCATTTATACTCCTAGGTAATGTTCTGCATTTAGGCGAGGCAGTGACAAACACGGTATGCATCTGAAAGCAAATAGGCAATTTAGGAAAGCAACATAATACAGTTGTAATGTGGCCTAACAACTCTACTGTTACAAAAAGTGTTGTAGGTTTCTTAATGGTCCTGAGCAGTCAGGTTTTATATCTTACCTAATTATTATGAAAAGTGAGTAATGTGTCCATCCTGTAAAATGAAGATACAAAATATTTTGTATCTTCATTTGAATAGCAAATGTTTAATTGTGCAAATCCATGCTCTTTTTTTTCCTTAATGTTTATAGCATCGGGTACCTAAGGAATATCATGCCAGGGAGCCACGGATAAACTTGACATTTAGGACCATTTATCCAGACCCTGAGGGAATGCAAAGATGAATGAAGACAAATGTCTTGGTTATTACTGGATAGAACATTGCAGCTGATCTGAAGTCTCAGACCTGGTGCTGGTTTGGAGAAAAGAGCCATAATGGATTTTTAGTTACCGTCAAACATCTGATAGCGAGAGGGGAGGAGGCTGTCATCATAGAGAACTGTGGCAGTCACACATTTCCTGTAATATATAGATAACACTGTCATTTTTCAGACATGAGATGCTATTTGATTTTGTTAATTCATAGACTTTGTTTGGTTTATTTTAAAAAGCAATAGTGACCTGTCCCCTCAGAGAGAGGTGAAAATGCTTGCATAAATTAAAGATGAGAGCATTTACTCATTGGAAAGCAGCTTCAGTGATCAATGCTTTTTAACCATCACCCTCTTTATCCTGGCAAAATTGAATGGATTTTTATAGCAGAGTCAAGTAACAGATGATAATCCTTTTGTTCTAGTCTACATGAAACTGTGCAGGTGTGTATATAAATCTGTGAAAATTATTATGTAGCACATCAACTGAGAGGATCTTGGAGCACTTATTACTATAACTTAACTCTTACATGGGAAACAGAGACCTTTGCCAAAGTCTCACAAGTCAATGGCAAATCTATGGGGAGAACTCATGTCTCTTTACTTCCTGTCTGGGGCCTTACCCACTAGACCATTTTGCCTTACTGCTTTAAAGTTAACCAAAAAAGTCACCCCTTCAATGTTGGTGAAGGGGGGCTTCAGATTTTGAGACGCTTTGAGATACTTAGGGTCTAATTTTTTCAGCAATACTGAGCATTTGCTACTTCCTTGGACTTCAGTTAGAGTTATGAGTGTCCAGCACCTCTGAAACTCTGGATATCTCAAATTGGGTCACCAAAACTACTGACTGCTTTTGAAACTTTGAACCTAAATTATTTGTCCTTTGTTGTGAGAACATACCGCTCCCGACTTCTCATCTTGTGCTCTATTAGAAAATGTTCCTGTGTGTATATATATATATATATATATATATGTAATTACACAAACACAAGTTGTAGTGAAAAATACTTCTATCAAACCTCATGTATTCCTAACAGGCAAGTAGCAGCTAAAACCAAGATCCGGATAGTCTTGCAGGAATTCTTAAGAGCTTGCCTTGCCTATCTGCCTTGCCTGCTATTGAAACCATGAATTCATGGTTACTCTTTTATACAAAGCCAGTTATGCTCTATATATTGCTAAATACTCTCTGCAGTTGTTTGTCAGCTATGATGGACTGCAGGATGATAAGTATTCATTGTCTATATAATGTGGGACTGCAAGTATTGATAAACATTCTGTGCATTGTCTGACATGAATTAAGCTAAGCTTGATGCCCCTCTTTGTTGTCAGAGTAAGTAAGTGTTTAGAAAAAGTCTTTCTGATTAGCCAGTGGTATCAGGTGCATTATGGAAGAAAATTATTCCCTGCTGACAACAGTCAAATGACTAATCGTGTGCTATGTGTAAGTTTTCATTTTTACTGGTGATTGTAAAGGATAAACTCTTAAGCCACTGCAGTATTCAAACTCTAAATTGGGCAGAATTGATTTCTCAGTGACTCACACAAGTATAATACTGGTATGATGTCTGCCTAAAGTCTGACAGCATTTAAAACTGCTCGTATTTCTAAAGTGCATGAATGTGAAGGGGAAAGAGCTATTAAAGTGAAGGGGTTCTATAGATAACTTTGGGGGAATAGGGAGTTGCATTTTTTTGGGGAGGGGTTTCACCCTGGTTTCCTGATGTTATCCTCATTTAATTTCTTATTTTCAGTTTTAATTTCTTTCTTTCTTCCTTCCTTTGTGTTGAAGGATACAGCTATTTGCTTTGCTTTCTGTTCTCTTCTGGTGCCATGTGCAGACTTCTGGTGCAATGTTGGGTGATGTAGTTTCTACAAAGAGAACTATTTCTCATTAAGCAGGTGCCTGAGTTAACTCCTCCCAGAGGCCTATCCTTATATCTTAACTTGCATTGCTGCCCTCACAGTTCACTGAACCTGTGTTGAATATAATTTTGTACAGCACTACATCCAGGGAGATGCACATTCCAATGGTTACTTCAGAGCAGTGAGCCTTCTCTACTGCTGTCTGTAATATCTTGTGGGTGAAAAGAGGGGTGAGGGACATCATCTTCTTTGAGTAAGCTGCAAGAATGCTTACCCTGCCAAGTCCAGAGACAGGGCCAGATGCTCGGTGGTGTAATTTACTGTAGCTCAGCTGAAGTCAATGGAGCACTGACATTTTACTCTAAATGAAGGTCTGACCCATGGATTCTAATCCTGCCACTGACTTCTTTCTGCCCTTTGATTGGGTTTTTATACATTCATTCATATTTCACTAATAATTAATAACTTTCACATTAGGAATTTAAATGCTCAAAAAGTGAGGCAGTGGAAGAAATTAATGTTTCTGTTAACATTAACTCAGCCATCCTATACATCTCGTACGTTTTCCGGTTTGCATGAATTCATATTTATGAAGGCAGATATCTATCCAGAAACCAATAATACAGCACACATGCAGCGTGTACGTGTTCATAATTACTACAGTATGAGAACCACAGTTTTTGCCCTTAAACCTGTGAAAGTAATGAGATTTGTAACCTTAACATAATTTATATTTTAATTTCCCTGTGGATTCCTAAGAGAGCCTACTCTTCAGGTGCTGAAAGTTTCACAGTAGATAGGCCAACTCCTTTGGACCTAAAAGCCATGCATAAGCACCCAGATTCTCTCCTGAGCTGGGATTCATCTGGCCCAAGAGAGCTTACAGGCTGCTCTAACTTATGCACCAGCTGGCTGTGTTTACTGTAGAATCACATTTTAGTTGAGAACTGGTGGAGGAAAACATGCTGTGCCATGCTCTCTCTTGTCCCATACATCATATGGGTGGGGAAGTTGTCATTAAAACTGATTATGCCTCTTCATGGCAGGTGTGAACTTCCCCACACTGGAGAAATCATCAGTTAGCCAGATAGGGCAACAGACTACCGTCTTTGCACTGCGTAAGCAGCAAAAAATGGCCAAAATAGGCAGAGAGAATCTGGCCCAGTGTTTCAGCATTGAAATCGATCTACAGATACTATTTCTGTTTAGATACCAGCACTGATACTTAATAGATCCCACAGTTATTATGCACAAAAGTAAGACTGCAATGTTCATAACACGGGTTTAATGTGGGTGAGGTGGTGTGTCCTGGCAACCGAAAGGCATAGGCCTCATTGAGGACCAGCAAAACTGAAAATTTCAAGTAATAACTTCAGCTGTGTTTTTTTCATTCTTTGAGTAAAACAGCGACTGAAAATTTCAAAGATGTTTGAAGGGTTTTTTTGCTCCAATTTTACAGATTGAAAAAAAAAATCCCTTCTTGGAGGGATGGAGACTGAATGTGAAATGTTTCCTCCACAGGACTTATTTCAGAATTAGAATACACCCCTCCCAGGCCATAGTGTCTTTCTGTTTCATCCTAGGCCTGTATAACAGACTGCAGAGCATTTCCAGACCGAAAAACAAAACCAGTTAGAGGGACTGAAGGATGTTTCCCTATCTTTTGCCATAACCTTGTATTCCTGGAGTACTTGCATTGGGTACTGGGGAGATGAATGGGTAACCATTACCCAGGGAGCAACCCTCTGCCCGCGGCCCACTGTCTGTCTTTTTATGACAAAATCTGTTTGAAGGTAGGGTTTGTTGTTTTTTTTAAAAGTATTTCATTTGTACCGTGTCAGATGAATCTTCTCAATTTTTATTTTTCTCCCTTCGACTAAGTTACCTCCTCCTGAACATGAATTCAGAGAGATACAACAGCAGCAAAGGAGTTAAGCTGAAGAGTCCCATGCAGCAATCTTGGCAGAGAGCTGTAGATTTTCCTCATGGGGTTTACGACAAGTGACAGATGATAGGTGCTCGTACAGCCCAGAATATCCTCTTTGAGTGTTGGCATCATTGACTTGGCTAAAAATCATTTAACACGAGCTTTGCCTTTTCTGGTCATAAACACTTTCAGCCTCGAAATGGAAGCTGAATGACTGAGTCTTTTTTAAATTGTTCTTTTTAAATGCTCCAAGTTTCCATAGCAACCTATTCCATTTGTTTAAATTGGTGCTAACTGGCCCATCCTCCCTTCACCAGACTTCTGCTGCAAACTTACATGCCTGTTGTCCCATTTCCTGTCAAGCTGCAGGGTGCCTTTGCTGAATTTATTGCGTTAGCAATGAGGGGCTCCTTGTGAAGGATTCGCTCTCCTCAGAGTTCCTTCAGAAACAGCGGAATCATCTAGCTGGTTGAGTGCCAGATTTCTGTTGCTTTGCTTGTTGACCTATTTGATATGCCTATTTCTTGTTCCTTCTAATGTTTGTCTGAGCTCTGGGTAACTATTACAAGTAACTTTTAAAAGGAGGTTAGGGCTATATGCTGATGACCTTTGAGCAGGCATGAAATTGGGCTTCCTTGTGTGATTCCACAGAACAGTTACAATTCCTTTCTTAAATATAGGAAAATTGGGTTGTAATGAAGTTTAATGAGGGGGAAATAAGAAAGGAAGGGTCTTGCACAGAATAGTTATTTGATTTAGATTCCCTGGATGATTTGCTGGTATACCCCCAGAAGCACTATTATGGATAATCAATACTTGCAATCACGAGATTTCCTTGTGTGATTCCACAGAACAGTTACAATTCCTTTCTTAAATATAGGAAAATTGGGTTGTAATGAAGTTTAATGAGGGGGAAATAAGAAAGGAAGGGTCTTGCACAGAATAGTTATTTGATTTAGATTCCCTGGATGATTTGCTGGTATACCCCCAGAAGCACTATTATGGATAATCAATACTTGCAATCACGAGATTTTGATCACGTGATATGTTCAACTGATCTTAGCAGAAGAGACTGCTCTGATGCTCCACTAGAAGATTTCTCCCCACACAGCCCTGTGCATGCAGTTTAACCCTGTTCATTTGAATGCTATTATTCTTTGTATCATAGTGGTGCTCAGAGATCCTAACAGAGAGCAGGGCCCCATTCCTTTAGGTTCTATATAAACACAGTAAAAGACAATTTCTGCACTGAAGACCCTCCACTCTGAAGAAGATAGATGAAGGGTGAGAGAAGAAGAGGCACCCCAACAAGTGTCTTGCCCAAGGTCAGAGCAGATGAACTGCTGTCAAAGGCTAAAGGACTCATAAGTCTAGTGATGCTTCTTACATGCTCGAAGTATTTTCATCTGCACCTTGCTCCTTCAAACAGAGCTGTGCTCTATATCTAGTCCATGGCAAAAAAAAGAGACAGCTTATCTTTACAGTGCTCCTTCAAAATGAAATGGCAGAAGGAAATAACCCCCAAAACACAGGCACCTTGTTTATTTGCAGAGGCAGCAGAAAGGGGATTAACAAACCCTGTGTGGTGGAGTTTTCTGAGTGGAAGTGGTGGGCAGAGCTGGGGTCCCTATGTTTCATAATCAGCATGTAGTTAACCCACCTACTTGACATGAGTAGGGAGGGGGAGGAGGCAAGCGTGTGGGCAGGAATGGGGGCTTGATAGTTTGTGTGCTTGGTAGAATTTGCCAGAGACTGGATTTACCCAGTGAGAATAAGGCCTTGTAACTAGCTTACAAATTGCAGTAGGTTCCATGCTTGGTCAGCCTGACAAACCATTATGCTTCCAGCCCTAGCACAATAAAGGCTATGAAGCAAGGTTTTGGCTGCCGAATGCAGGGGTGAGCTCCTCTCTTCCTGTCTCAACGATGCTGTTATCAGTCACAGACAGAATTGAAATGGGCTTATTTCAGTCTCAGTGAATTGCTTTGTACTTTGCACAAGTGTAAGATATCACATCCGTTATTTTTTCAGTGTCCCTGTCACCTCTGTGACCAGCTCCTGACTTGGCTGCCTCATTTAGATCAGAATGGCTCTATTTCATCTCTGTAACTTCCCTCTCTCCAAAGCCCCTGCTATTCTTACAAAGCTGATTTCAGAACTTGGGGAGTAATGGCATTTCTAAACTGACAGTGGTTTTCCTCCTTGCTTGTCAGCATTAGCTGCCTCACCCTAGAGTCTCTCTTCAGGGTAGGACTTTGGTGGCCAGAGCTACCATTATTGTTATTCTGCTTTTTGTTGTTGTTTGTAAAATGCATTAAAAATCTAAAAGTTTTAAGGAAGGATGCTCAACCACAGGCCATGGGAGATGATTCACAGACTCCTTCATCTAATTGTCAGAAATTTTTTCCTGAGGTTTTTACACATAACAGTTCATTTCTCTTCAACTAAATCAAAACTGCTTCAGGCCACTTTTACATTATGTATTGAATGCTAAATATGGTGTATTATGAACTGAATGCTCTTGGGGCTCAGCATTGTGCAACCCACAGAAGAAAATGGTATATAGGCACTTGAAAAGTTTAAGATGCATTTGCAAAAGTGACTTAGGAACCTACGGTCTTGTTAAGAATGTAATTGGGGGATGGGGTATAATTTACACTGTGTATTTAATCCTGCATTGTTTTATACCAGTTTAGTTCCCCATCTGTACACCTTTAGGACTTATCTACACATTCAGCAGTGCGGCTGCACCCATGCAGCTGTGCCGCTGTAGCACATCTGGTGAAGATGCTCTATGCCGAGGGCAAAGAGCTCTTCATCAGCATAATAAAACCAGCTTCTGAGAGAAGATAGCAGTGTCAGCAGGAGAAGCTCTCCCATCAACATATAGCTCTTTCCACACCAACAGTTATGTAACTTAGGTAACTCTGAGGGATAGTTTATTCACACCCTGGAGTGAATTAAATTATGATGACATAAGCTGTAGCATAGACACAGCCTAAGTCTGGGGAAGGTGCTTTGTTTTTGGTTTAGCACAGAGATTCTCAAATTTTATTCCATTGCAACCCACTTCTATCAAGAAAAATTACTATACTCCCCAGTGGGAGGCCCAAGAGTATCAGCTCCAGGCAGAAGGCCTGTAACCAGAGCCCCACCATTGAGAGTTGATGCTTCAGCCCTAGGCCCAAACAAGTCTAATGCCAGCCTGAGTGACGGCAATTAAAATGGGATCCCAACCCAGAGTGTGAGAGCTGCTGGTTTAGCATGTCTCTCTTGAGGAAAGGATTTAATTTACACAATAAAAGGGCCACTTTTGTATTGGATTAAGCATGCCAACGTAGTAAGGTTATACTTGTACTACTATACCGGTATAATTGGTAAATCCTGTGTAGGCAAAGCCCTTGTCCCACTGACTTTCAATGAGAATTAGGCTCCCGAGTCGCTTTGATGCTTTTGGAAATACCACCCGCCTCATCTCCTGCCAGCTAACCGCCCATCTTCCTAGATACTTTGGTTCCTCAGTTGTTTCCCTGGTGGGGAGCCAGGATTTCCAGGCTTCTTAGTAGCCTATGTGACCAACTGCCACAGAATTAGGGCTTCTAGGTTCCCATCTCCTTGGCAGTCCATCTGGCTTGCAGCCAAATAGCCCAGGAGTCTGGGCAGGCCAGCTCCCAGGGTTCTGCAGTTGGCTGGTTCCCTGGAGTCCAAGGCTGCTTGCTGATCGGCTTGCCCAGAGAGCCGTGTGACAGATTCTGCAGGCTACCTGCTGGGAAGGCTAGTTGCCAGGGCTACCTGCAGGTTCAGGTGGCTGGCTGACTTCCTGGGTACCAGAGCTGCCCACTTGGTGAGCAAGTGCTGCCCAACTCTCCAGCTGCCCAGCTGGCAAGCCAGTTGGAGCCAGTCCAGAAAATGTTTTTAAAATGTCTGTTCCACAGGAAATTTTGCATTTCCAACTGAATTCAAACAAACATTGGCTTTGGAAAGGTGGCATTTTCATCAAATGAAAACTTCAGGTCTCACCCAGCTCCATTGATTGTAGTACAAAAAAAAAAGTATGATTACTAATGGTAAGGGTATAACTAGAGCTATGAAGTGTTAATACATACATATCTATAAGTGATACCAAATGTAATGGGAGTCATCCCAGCATGTTATTCAAGTCAGTTTAGTTAAAACCCATTTGATTGATAAAAGTACAGTTTACTTTTTTTTTTAAATGCACTTTTAGGAATTAACTTGTCTCCAGTTGGCTGTCTCTTACTCCTACCTTGTATCCCCACCTAAGCCAATAAGCAGGCAACATTACAATAACAGTTGAGCAAGAGCTGCCACTCATTCTGACATCCATCAGAACAGTTAAACTAAATAGGCATCAGTCACTTGGGGAAACAGTGTTTCTGTCATGGAACATTGTCTGGATCTTTTACTTTGCAAATAAATACCTCAGCTTTGCTTCTGCATTTATTATTACTACAGAATAGCAGTGGGGGGCCATTATCCTGTGACACTGCCACTTAACACCCACCTGCATCTTCTGCTATTGCCTTACTGTTTTAAAATTCTTGGTAGGGAGAGAGTTATTGGCATTTGTATAGCACTATAAAATGCAAAAAATCACAATGGAGCCAGCTCAGGATGTAATGTGATTCAGATTTCAGTGTATTGGTTGCTTTTTTAGAAAGGATTGTAAACCAAAGAGAGAAATCCCTGTTTCAAGGAGCAAGTACATCTCTATGGCCTTAGACGACCTCTGAATAATGAGAGAGAGTAGGGCTTCCTGATCACCAACTTCAATTGTATTCCAGATTTCACAAATCTTTTGCTCTACTTGATTCATCAGCTATCATCACAGAAATATGGCTAGTGTAATGATGACTAAGAAGAATTTTTGAAGTATATTTTCCTCTTAAGGTAGTTGTCAGGACCTTTTGAAGACCTATTGTATAGACTGTATAAGAAAGAGATCTATGTGTATTAAGAAATGCTAAAGCAGGAATAAGTATGAGACAAATTGATAGCTATCAAGAGACAGGGATCTTGTTTTGGATAATGTCGGATTTTGTGCTCATAATCCGCTGTGAGGAAGTGAACTGTTGTCTATATTTTAAAGATGGGGAACTGAGATACAGGATCGTACAAGTGACACTCCCAAAGTCACACACGCAATCTGTGGCTAAGCGGGGTACTGAACCTGGATTTCCTTTCTGTGTCTACCCTTGTACAAATGGTGCACGGAGTTCAATGTTAATTATAGGAAGTCTCACTTTGACTTCCCTTACTCCTCATGGCAGCAGAACTACTGGCATTGACCGAAGTGCCCCTCTGTTCAAGTTAGCATGTCTTCACTAGCTCCACTAATTTGAAAACTGGAAGATCGACAGTGGCAGCTTTGATCCCCTCTGTAGCATAGATGTACCCAGAGTGACTACCATGCTAAGGCTGAGCTGGATTTTCCATGCAATTACTCCTCCTAGTGGTTGAAGGTTGTTATGGTGCTGGACAGTCGAAGAAGCATGCTAGTGGTGGTACCCAGGCAGCCTGCAGGAGGTGCAAATCACCCTGAATTGAATGCACAAGCAAGATGAAGAGTAAAATGGGGAAGAGATGCTGAGTCAGGAGATTAGAGTATCTGGGGTCAAGGCATTGCGGCAGGAGCAGCAGTTGGAAGTTGATAGGGGACAGATCAGAGCAAAGAGTGTGGGGGGGGCAAAAGGAGGTGGGAGGAAAAGCACGATCTGGTAGAGGCAGGACACGTGCAAGGGTAATGGAAGGAGTTAGTGACAGGAACTAGAGTGCAAACTAGGAGAGGCTAG